TAAACAGTATAATGGTATAACTATTAACTACAGTCTACACTCTATATTATATACGCTGATTATTTTATAGCAAAATAAGTTTTCACCGTGTTCTCATCTTACGTTCAGTTTTTCTTAAAGTGCATTTAAACATAAAATATATTTTTTTAAATACCCGCAAGTTTTAACGATTGCGATGTTTAGTCAGGGCCGGAGTCAGACCGGTTTTCTCGGGTCATTTGTCCGGGGCCCGAACCTAAACATATTTTTGAGGGGCCCGGGTCCATAAAAAAAAAATTTAAATCATGACCGGCCCGGGTCTATAAAAATTTTAAATTTTAACGGGCCCCAGCTAAAGCTTAAGTAACGATCAATGGGCACTGCCATTTTATTGAACATTTAATCATAATATATTAATATTGTGTAATAGCATAATACTAGTATTAATAGCGACCAAAATACTTATATTCTTTATCTTATCGGCGCGCGGCGCGGCGTCATGACGGTCACGGGTATTCTTCTATAAATATAATTTATCGGCCGAAATTCACGAAAACAATTTGGCTTGATTTTTAGTAGGTTGTCGACAAGAAAATACACTGTATTTTTCTGGGTATTTCACATTATGTAATAATTTTATGATATAAGCACGCTTGGTTATCAGTTTATTACTTATTTTCATTGTCATTGTCATATCAAATTCAGTCATATGACAGAGTTTGTGGCGACTTAATCGACTTATGTTTATATCCGACCGTTGAATTTTAAAAGTGACGATATGAGTGCTTATAAACATAAATCGGGGTTTCAAAAAAGAAAAGAAAAAGAAATTCGGGAGATAGAAGCATCCAAAGGACAACGTCTCTAAATAAATACATTCAATCTGCAAATTATAGAAATAGTTCGACAGTAAATCAACCTTCTTGTGAAACTATGATTGAAAGTGAGTACTGAATATTAAAAAATGAGCGTTTAAATGGTATTAAAACGCTTATGGATTATTAAAAAGGTAATTTTTTTTGGCGCTTATGAGTTATGGGTTATTTATTTTTGCGCTTTTGGGTTGCGTTTGGGTCATATTTTGCGCTTATGGGCTACACCCTTATTTTTTTTTAAATAATTTGTACCTACATATTTTGATTTCATTAATATTTTATTAGGGATTACTGAATGTCAACCTTCTACTTCTACAACTGCTTGTCCCAAATGTCCCGACTCAACCCTTCAATCACTTTCTTTCTCAGTTAATGAAACAGCAGTAACCTTGCCTATGTCCTTACCTACACAAACGAACATAACGTCATCGTCTAAATTGGAGACTGCTGAATCTAGACAGTTGGAACTGTCACCTTTATCTGTTGAAAATAAAAATATTTTGGTGATGTCGTCTAATACGAATAGATATTTTGACATTGGATCAATCAACTTTAATATTGATATAGACATTAAAAAATCACATGAAAAACTACCTGCTACTTTTCCTGAGGACTCCCAAGGATTTTCAATGCCAACCACCATTTTTAAGAAAAAACTAGCAAATGGAGAATGTGTAGATAGAGACTGGTTAGTTTGGAGTAAGGAAAGAGCGGCTTTGTTCTGTTTGCCATGTAAAATATTCAGCCCACATATGACTAAGCTTTCAATTCTGGCTTCGGAAGAGGGTTGGTCTGCAACAGGTAATTGGAGGAAACTTCATGCAAGAATTCCTGAACACGAGAAAAGTGAATCTCACAAGTCGTGTTATTTCCATTGGAAAACAGAACAACTTAAGCACCAAAAAGAAAAATCTTTAAGTGACCTCATGGCCAAAACTATCAAACATGAACAAGAAGTGTTGCGTGGCCTTCTTCGACGACTCTTTGATGTAACATTGTTTCTTGCTGAAAGAGGGTTAGCATTCCGAGGTGATAGTGACAGAATCGGTGATTACAATAATGGAAACTTTCTTGGCATCCTTGAACTATTAGCGAAATATGATCCTCTTTTGAATGAACATATGCGAAGTGTGCGTCATTCCCAAGAGACTAAAAAGAAACTTCAAGTCACTTATTTATCATCGCAAATTCAAAATGAGTTTATTGATATTTGTGGTTCTATTGTTCGGGATCACATTTTAAAAGAACGTGGTGAGGCGAAATATTTTTCACTTATAGTCGACGCTACTCCAGACTCTGCTCACATTGAACAAACCGCATTTTTGATTCGTTATGTTCACCGAACCAACGGAGATAATAGCGCTGATGAATCAAAACTGGCTGACTCGTATAAAGTTCATGAACGTTTGTTAGCTTTTGTGGACTGTTCTAAAAAAACTGGAGAAGCCATTTATGATCTTATCAGGACTACACTTAAACAATATAACATACCTTTGTCTGACTGTAGGGGTCAGGGATACGACAATGGCAGCAACATGCGAGGAGCGTATAAGGGTGTGCAGGCGAGAATTCTAGAGGATAACAACTTTGCTGTATACAGTGCGTGTGCGTGCCATTCACTAAATCTTTGTGGAGAACAGGCTGCATCAAGTTGCCGTGAAGCAGATACATTTTTCGGAGTTGTGCAAAAATTGTACAATTTAATGAGTTCTAGTCCTCAAAGATGGGAGATTCTCCAAAAGAAAATTGGATGCTCCCTACATTCAACTTCACAAACCCGCTGGTCTGCAAGAGTGGAAAGTGTAAAGCCAGTAGCAGCTCATCTCCCAGGATTGGTTGAAGCTTTGGATGATGTTTTACTCCTCAACTTATCAGCGGAATGTCGAAGGGATGTGAAAGGACTTAAAACATATTTACAATCTTTTGACTGTTTGATTTTGGCGTCCATTTGGTTTAAAATCCTGAAAACAATTGATCTCGTGAACAGAGTAATTCAAGCACGCGGAGAAACTATTGACATAGTCAGTAAAAACTTACAGAATCTAGTGAATGAACTTCAAAGTATAAGGAATGAAAGCTGGGAAAAAATCTGGAGTGAAACTACAATCGTTGCTGAAAACATTGGTTGGTCAGACAAATTAATTGATCAATCAAAGAGGGTGAAAAAACGAAAGAGAATGGTCGATGAGGAAGGCATAGAAGAATACACATCAGAAACAATTATTCCACAGTTGCTTTTCAAAAGAAATGTATTTTATGTCATTTTGGATGAAGTAATTGCAGATATAAACAAACGATTTGAATCATTGAAAACACTTATTGATATTTTCTCAGTTCTTTGGGAGTTTAAAGATATGACAGAAAGTGAAATAAAATTAAAATCTAGAAATCTGGTTTTGAAGTATAATGATGATTTACAAGAAGATTTAGTAGATGAGCTACAAAGTCTTAAAATAGTTTATGCTACTAACTTTGGACATAAACAACTAAACCCTTTAGAACTGCTGAATCATTTGCACAAAACTAATCTTGCAAACATGTTCCCTAATTTATGTATTGCATTACGAATCTTTTTGACGATTCCCGCAACTGTTGCGAGTGCGGAACGATCTTTCTCGACATTGAAGAGAGTGAAGAATGTACTACGATCAACAATGACACAACAGAGACTCTCAAGCTTAGGTGTTTTAGCAGTGGAGGCTCAACTTGCAAAGACGATTGACATGGATGAGGCAATTGATGACTTCGCAGTAAGAAAGGCAAGAAAAAAAACCATAGGAAAATTTTAAATTTAAGGTTTTAACTATATAAGAATTATTTGTAATCTAAGATAACACTAATAATACCTATATCTTTCAATATTCATTTAAATAAATATAAGTTATGGTTATATATATTATTATGTCGTTTTGTATATTATTATCATTCATGTATTTGAGTATTTAAATTTTCTTTGAAAAAGTTTCAATATTATTTTAGATAAAAATAAAATATTTAAAAATAGCATAGTTGCAATAATATTTGATGTCAAAACAATTTAATTATTAGTTTTATAGATAATTAGACAAATTTTTCCTATGAAAACTAGGAAAACCCCTTTATAAAAATAGGGGGCCCTGAAGGTTTAGTTTGTCCGGGGCCCGCCAAAGCTGAGTACGGCCCTGGCCATGTACCCCAACGAGTAATAATAGGCTCAGGAGGTAATGGTACATTCGGGGCTCTATTTTTTAAAAAAAATACACGAACCGGGCATTTCAAAAATATTTGTTTTACCTTAGAAATTAATTTGTCAACTTTGGTAAATTGTCCTCTTATTTCTTCAGCAACTCTATGTACACCATGCGCTAGGCATGTAACATGGACCATCTTAGAATAAAGTGCGCCAATTGTTTTTCCTGCTTTGACCATGTACGGTGCCGCATCACTAAGGAATAACAATACATCATCATGGCGTATACCATCAGGCCAAAGAAGAAACATCGATTGATCAAAGAATTTTTGTGATTGTCGAATAATTTGTCTTCTCGAGCACTTCTGAGTTTAAAAGATAAACTTGACCCGGTTTGTTGACTTCCAATGTACCTATAATGACGTTGGCTATGTATCTACCTTGAACGTCGGTTGTTTCATTCACTGAAACCCATATTTTGTGTCCGACAATATTAGATCTGATTTTGTTCATAGTTTCTACATAAATATCATTCACGTAATTTTTACGCAAAGTGCTTTCATCGGGAATTTCTTTGTTAGTATATTTTTCCATAAACAAACGGAAATCCTTGTTGTTAACTTTATTTAAAGGAATATTTGCAGATAACAATGCCTTGCAAAGATCTTTCGAAAATGTACATTTTTTTTGAGTATAACGTTACTTGTTGCTGTATTTTTGAGGTTGTTGCGTTTTGATGACGATTTACAGAACGGGTGTGTTTATCGGTTTTTAAGTGTTGTGTAACTATGTATCTTCTTTCAGCAGATACTCGAGTTTCACATAACTTGCAAAATAAAACGGAACCGTCACTCGAAAATATGTTTTCCCCAAACTCATTGACAAATTTGTTTAATACGTTCTTCATCGATGGCTTACTTTTTGGCATTTTGACGAACAAATTAGAAAAAAAAAATACAAAATAGTGTGCACTGGGCAGTGTTAACGAAATACAGCGTGATACTGAACAACAGTTAAATTGAAACATGCATTTCTCCCAAAATTTTATTATTGTATAACAATCAAGTCATTATTCTTATCTTGTTATTGACTGAAAGCCTAAAAATACTTCTCGTAGTCATATTATAGCGTAATGACCGCGCTCTACTAATTAAATGGTTTTTCCAGTTACCACTGACGACGACGGTCAAATAAGCCGTCACGTGTCACAACCAACAAAGCCCGACATGACCATAGATTATTCCTGTATAATCTAACAAAAAAAAGTGAAAACACAAAAAATACATAAAATTGTATTGAAAATGACGACAATCAACAAAATTGCAATAAAATTGAAAAAAGGTCAAAAATTGCAAAAAGTTGCACTTAAAATTTTTATATATTAATTGGTACTTGTTTGAAACAAATTTATAACCAACTTAGCAACGAATCCGAACAATAGAAAAAAAGTTGCAAATGCAACAACATCCGAGCCCTAGTGATTACAAATTACAATTATACATATAAAAATGTATTACATGTGCATAGTAAAAATGTATTACATTTATTTTCATTGGGCCCTTCTCATACGTTTCTCGGTAACATTAATTTAACCTATCTACCCCTGGCAGGGTTGTGATATCATTTGGATGGTTCGTTAAGAAAACGTCACACCCGTATGGATTGTCTCCGTCTTATACACGTACGACAGTACATTTTCGTTCACCAGTTTCAATAGTGTGCTTTTAGTTTTGATATTAGAGTGAATTGACCTATAATCAAATTTTTAAGTAAGTACATTATCTGTGTTCTCTCGTAGGTTTCTTATGACATTTTACTTTTTAAGTGAGTTATTTGTATGAAAAATATAAATTTATAAAAATGCTCATAATCTACTGAAGTTTTGTAGTTTTTTTTTGGTCCATTTATTCTAATAATTTTTTTTATGAATTCGACAAACTCAATAGCTTCGTTAAAAATTGATTGATGATTCAATAGTTGCCTACTTCCTTCTAAACTGACACTGCAGCTGTGTAATAATGAAAACTTGCAATAAATATACAATTTTGAATATTGCAACAAGATGAGCGGCTGCAATTCGATGATAAACTGAAAAACGTTTAAAACATTATTTGGACTTCCAAGTAAGGTTATGTCACGTATACCAGTTTTATTTTAAATCATAGAATAATTGAATGGTCTTTAAAGATATTGTTATTAAATGCCTTTCTGAAATATAGAAAATTAAAAATTATAATATTCCGATAATAAATAATTATGAATGTTTATGCATAATGAACTAAATATTTTTATAAAATTAAATTTCTGGCCCAGACACCTCACATTTTATAAGTAGGTAAGCATAAAATAAATTCAAACCATTTAATAATAACAGAACTTATTTATCTTTAAAATCATATAAAATTAAAATATCGCTTATCTGGTCCTGATACTCTTCACAAGTTTTCATCCCATTATAATCTCCATTTTCTTGTATAGATATTTTTCCATTCTTAGCTCCTATTCCTGTTAAGGTCCTCCTTATTTCATCTTAATCATTTTTAATGTCACTCGAGGTCTCTTTCCCGTAGAACTCTCAGAGAGACTCATATACTAGTCCAATACATGGCAACCTTCCATATCGTGTCAAGTTCTGAACTTCTTCTCCGCTATTTCCTGTGGTATTCCATACCTAGCGGTCCATATAGATTGTGGTTCTTATTATTGTTAAAATTAGCAACTTGTTAGCATTTTTCTGAGAAAATTAGCGCGCTTAAACTTATTTTGGTGAAAGTTATCTTTCTTTATTCAATATTACCACCTAAATTGCCAGAAATTCGATAACATACTGACTGGGATATGACCGTAACCCC